CGGCCCTCCGCCTTATTGGCCGAGAGCGCGGCATAGCGGTGTCGCATGCGTCGACTATCATGCCCACCACGTTTTCGGCTTCCTCCTCCTCATCAGTGGCCTCCCGGCGGTTGCCATGTGGCCACTAAAACGGCCGCCCGTAGGCGGACCTTGTGCAATTTCTTGAGGGCCCATCGTCGCCGTGGGCCTCTTCCCCTTTAGCCGGCGGCAGCTATTGGGCGAGTGTCGACCTCCATGGAGATGTAGCGATGGTCGGACATGGTTTTCCTCGGAGGTCTCCATCCGCCAGTCCCTTATCGCGCGCGCGGCCAGGGGAGTCGCCAGGGTAATGTCGATATGCGACTCCCCGTTCCACCGCACGCACGTGGGTTCCGGGCCCGAGTTTATAACACTCAGGCCCAGTTCCGCCGCCCAGTTCATTAGAGCCTCGCCCTTACGGCTTGTCGCCGGGGATCCCCAGAGCGTAGATTTCGCGTTTAGGTCCCCGGCGACTATAATGGGGCGGGGGAGAAGCCTGTATATACACTCCTCCACCCCAAGCAGATACTCCTCGAATTGGGCGAGGCCTGTATTTGGGGAGAAGTAACATCCCACGACGTAAATAGGCCCCCACTTTACCGCCACATAGTCCTCTCCACTAAGGAGCAGGGGGGCAATCCTTGTATAGGCCTCCATATAACCACCACCGTAGCCCCGCGGTCCCCGAACCAGCAGGGATGGTCCCCCGGGATGCTGTGGAGATCGGCGGCGATTCCGAACCCGCAACCACGCTCCGCCAGGCTATGGACAAAGAGGTCCTGTGCCCGGCGGGCGTGATTGAGATTGGTCTACAGAAGGCTGAATGTGCCTACTTGGCTGCCTCAGCCTCCGCAGCGACCTCCGTTGGCACCTCTTCGATGAAAGGAGTGCCCTGGTCTGGCCAGGGTAGAGACGTTTCCTTTTCCCTCGGCATTATGTCCACCTCCACGTCCATGGATTCCCCCCCAATGGGAGGGGCCATCGTGGCTGACGGCGGCGACGGCGGGGGGGCTTTTGGACCCCTACCCGTGGGGCGCCCCTCGCGGAGCCGGCCACTCCGGGGAGGGAGGGAGGAGCCTTACCGCCCTTCCTCCTTTGGGCTGCGAGGCAGTTCTTTGTCCCCACTCTGTGGTCGGCCTTGCGCCCCGCGTCCCTGCACACGGGGCACCCCAGGGGGCGGTCACACCCCCCCCGGAGGCTGGCTCGGTGACCCGCGGTAACAAAGTTCGCTGCGGTCTATCTCGCTTTTGCATGTCTGGCGGACGTGCCCCATCCCCATACATCTAAAGCACTGTAGGGGCCGTGCCGCCAGACTCTCCACGCGGGCCATCATTCATCCGCCCATGAGGATTCTTCCCGCCGCCGCCAGTGTCCTCGCCGGAGGGGGCAGCGCACTACGCACGTGCCAAGTCCCCCTGGTGCGCGCCTCACCTCACCAGCTTCGACGTGGTTCCACAGTGGACCGCGACTGATTCTCCTCGGAGGTCACAGAGTCCACTAAACCCTTAATCCGGAGGTCCGCCGTTTTTTTCGGCCGCTGGACTTTAATGTCGTCCCGGCCGGCGGGGACCTCCTTCATTTTTTGGGCCAAGGCATCTGCCTTGGCCCTGCCTTCCTGTCCAGGGACCTCATGTATGAGGGTCCCGGTGACTGCGCGTCTCGGACGCACACCCGAAATGCCCAGCGGCTCCAATTGTACTCCCCGGCGGACGAGGCGCATCGCCTCCTCATATCCGCCAGGGGGGCAGATTATAGTAACCGCCGCCGTACTCGGAGGTCTTCTCCTCCCCGAGCCCTTCCCCCCTTCTTTTCGGGGGGAGTCCGCCCCCGGGGGAGGGAGCTTTTCCCTGCCTGTTGGTTGGCAGGGATATTCCTTCTCTTTGAGGAGGTGGTTGGGGGGCTGAGGCGCTTGTGGCGTTCCCCCACCCTTCCTTTTCTTCTTTTTTCTACCCACCACTGCCGCCCACTGTTCAGCGGCAGCGGCAGGCCTGACAGTTGGGCAAGCCAGTTATTCTCGGGACGGCTCCTAGATGGCTGGAGGGCCGCTCGGGGGGCGTCATTTGTTCCTCTCTTTTTCTTCCTCCTTGTTGGGGAGAGCGGGGGAACGAGGAGGGAGATGTGTATCCCTTCTCCTTTGGCTTCCGCTCCTTTCCCGGGCCCGAGGCACCGGGAGGGGTGGCATGGAGATGGTAACTCCCATGCCCCGGAGGATTTCCGGGAACATTCTTCCCAGGGTCCCCGCAAGATCATTCCCGACGTGGGACTTCCGTGCACTCGCCCGGTCTGCATTGGAGGCGATTCCAACTTCCCCCCCTTTGCCCACCCGGAGCAGTGAGGCATCAGGGGGGAAGGCCTCCACCCGTGTATTGCGCGGGGTGCCCCCTCCACTCCTCGTCCGCCTCCCGCTCGTCTGGTCGGGGCGGATACTCGTCCGCGTTCATCCCTTTCCCCTTATCCGGGTCCCCAGGCAGAGGTCCGGCGGACTCGCCAATCGCGGGGGTGGTCTTGCGGGACTTGACTTCCCGTAGCTCCGCCCGCAGGCACTCCACAGCGGAACGGAGATCCGCATTGTCACGGCGTAATTGGAGGATCTCCTGTTGGAGGATCCTCTTCCCGCCATCCACATCTTCTGACGCACCGGCCTCCGCCTCCATGTTCTTCTTATAGAGGATCTCGGTGGCAGCGAGGACCTTTGCTGTGGCTTTCCAGAGTTTTCCCTGGAAAGTGCCCTTCAAATTGTCCGAATTTTGTGCAACCTTTCTCACCTCGTCGACTGCTTCTCTAGTACAGTTGACGAGACCGGCGTTTGACTCAAGGTCATAAAACTCCTTGAGTTTCCTCGCTTCTTCCTCCGTCTCGTTGAGCTTCTTGTTGGAGGTCGGCCGGATTGTCGGATCCTCGATAATCAGGATTGCCTCGGCCTCTTTCTTCTTTTCTCTCCGAAGCTCTTGCTCCTTTTTCCTTTCGGCAATTACTTGGGCCGTGAATCGGCCGACATTCGTCTCATTGAGGGCAGGTCTACCCCTCCTCTTCTTTTCTGCCCGGGGGATGTGGGTCTTGATCCCCCAGCGGCGAGCTCAATTTCCATATCGACGTCGGAGTTTTCGTTATCCCTGCCGTCCCCACCGGGGATAGGTCTGTTCGGGCGTCTCTTTGTCCCGGCGACAAATGAGGCCGTTGACACGCGCAACATATTCGACTCTGTCGAGTGGCTTCGAGATCGACACTTTTCGCCTCCGTTGTTCTCCTTATCGCCTGCTCTTCCCTACTTGGCGCAGCGGGGGCCAGATTTGTCCCTGCGTCCGATCCGCGGCGTTGTTGGCCGCGAGCTCGTGCCCTCCGATGTTGGCGGGGGTAGGGCGGGTCATCGCACTCTTCCCGCAAACGGAGGATCTCTGTCTTGGAGGTTGT